AAAGGAAGCTCAGTCCCATACATACCTTCTCAGTGGTAAGCCCCATTGAGTTTAATGGAAATTGCTCACAGGAATTGCTCACAGGAATGCCATCTCAATCCATTTACCATTTCCTAATTGGGGAAATCATAACTGAAGATGTTCCTTGGATGTTACTGTGTAAATTCTATTTCACAGTCATGGAAACAAGAGCATTGGGTGCTGTAAAAATTTATTTCACACAACAAATTCATTTGAAAGAAAATGCTGGAAATATATACCAATCCCCAAGGCACCCCCCACTAACTTGCTCCTATATTTGCAGCATTATTCTTTACAGTACTTTCACAACCAGAAATATATGCACAATAACTAGCAAAATTGCAGGAAAATGCACACTAACTCCTCTGCAATAAAAAGCAGGTGCTACCAGACATTTCTAAGCAGCAGCAGCAACGCAATATACTAGTGCCCTGATCATCTTAAGTATTTCCACCCAAGTTCTGGCTTGTTCTCCAGGGAATAATAAGCTGAACGACTTTTATCTTGTTATGCTCATCCATACGTTGCCTGCCACAAATTGCAAAACAGAAGTACTTTCACTATGCAATTGCCATTACTGAGGCTGTGGCAATCCATGACATGGTAAAGTCATCCTGTCAACTCAGCAGAAGCCACAAATGGACCCAGAAAGCATTAACAGTGCAATTCTTTACACAACTATCAGAAGGAAGCTCTACTACATTCAGTGAAAGTTATTTTGGGATGAGCACACAAAGGATTGACGCACAGGGCACATTTTTAATAAGCTGAGTAAAATGAAAAAGATTAAAAAGAACAAGTCATCCAGAGTTGTGCTTGAGCAGCAACAGCTCACAAAGAAGCTAATGGAGAGGTGAAATTCATACCTTTGAGATGTACGACTAAGGACTGTTTTCTACCAAATATGCTTATGCTTGTATCATAAATAACAAAGAAAACTTAAATTGCAGAACATGGAAAGGACAGTTGAAACTCAATTAACACTAATGGTAGAGGACACCAGCAAGACCAAGAAAACAGAGACGTATTTCAGTTTATAGCATATCCATTGCAACAGAGAATGAACTATAATTCAATTCTGAAAAGCTTTCAGACTGGTCCAAGTCTTATCTACAAGTGTCTTAACTGTATATTGAAAGAAGAATTAAAAGTGGGGGGCAATTCTCTTTTTCATAGCCTCTTACTTTCATGTATCCTCACAAATGTTTTTCCCCTTCTCATTTACTATTAAATTGCTTCTCTGTTTGCTTTTTATTCATATATTTATTGAATTTATATCCTGCCTTTTTTCTTAGAATAAACTTCAAGCAGTTTACATAATACTCCTCCTCCTGCTCTTAATCTTATCCCCACAACATCAGCCCTGTGAGGTGGGATAGGTTGAGAATTTGCAACTGGCCCAAGGTTGGCTCCTAGACACTATACCGCACTGGCTCTCAACACTTTTGCTCTTGCAAAAGACCCAAGCAGTCTTACATAGTTCTCCACTCCATTTTTACCCCAGAACCATAACCCTGTGAGTTAAGCTACACGGCTGTAGCTACATGATCTCCCAGGTCCCCGGTCTCACCCCAACACCACACTGGCTCTCCTGCTGTATGTTTATTTATTTAAAACATTTTATGCCACCCCCCTCGCAACAAAGCCTCGGGGCAGCTCACAGCAAGAACAACTGTTTACTGTTGTTACAACTGCAATTATTATTTTATTTCTATACAGTCCCATATGTTTAAAAAGACTTCAGCATGCAGAGTCACCAAAAAACAAGAATGCACTTAAGAGAATAGTCAAAGCTATGCAATAAAGAAAACATGTGCGGATGTTAATTCACTGGTTGACTTAATAACCGATGCTTAATCCTCCAAACCTTTGCTGAAATGAGCAGATTTTAGCAACTCTCCAGAATGTAATGAATGACAAAGCTGTTCCTAGGACAGAGCTTCAAAAAGAGGGCACTATTTCTGAAAAAGCTCTCAGCTCCTTATCCCCAGTTTGACCCCTGAACAAGAACCGTACAAGAATCCCCTAAGCCAGTGCCCTCTGGCTTTAACTGGACTACAACCCCCATCACCTGCAGCCAACACAGTGGTTGATTGTGCTGGCTGGGGCTTATGAAAGTTGTAGTTTAATATACCCAGAGTGCTCCAGAAAAAAAACCTTTATGTAGAGTTGCTAAACAAACAAAGTCATTCAGAAAAGCTACAAGTCGAAAAAAAATGCAGTTTCAGTTCTTGTCACAGAGTATCCACTTGAATCTGCAACTCACCCTGTCTTATGTAAATAAAGCAGAAGACAAACCCATGTCTGCCTTGATCTAATAAAGAGCGAAGAATGAAGAATTCTTTCATACAATACAATTTCATTATATAATGAAATTGTGTAATTTATTGTTCTGGCAGGAGGACCCAACCTCCATCACTACTACAAATCTAATAAATAAATCTAATAATAATATTTAGTTAGATAGAAGCGGCCATGCTGGATTCATCTAGCAGACCATCTAACTGGTCTAGAAATCTGGGCACACAGTGGCTAACCAACTACTTGTGAGAAACCCACAGGGGAGGCCTGAGCGGAACAGCACCATCCTGCTCATGTTCCCCAGCAACTCTAAAACAGAAGCATAATGTCTCTGATACTGGGGGCAGTCACAGCCACCCAGACTTTTAGCCCTCACGACATCTTGTCGTAGCAAGAAAATGAGGAATGGAAGAAATGAGCTAGCTGGCAGAGGGCAGCAGAGAAAGTTTGCTTTCTGGGAGAACGCTCTTTGCTTGTGCTGAAAACTGTGGGCTCAAAGAAGTTGTTTAGTAAGCTGTGAGTCAGACCTTCTCTTCACCTTGTACATAGTCATTCGGGATGGTTACTTATAATTTGCACTTCCCATGGCAACCACGTAATGGTGGTACCCACGAAAGTATATCAAATCGTGTTCAAGGGCCAAAGAAGCTTGCCCACTCCTGCCCTAGGGCAGAGGTCAAGCAAAATGCCAAAAACAGGGCACACTTTCCATCATACTAGCTGCCGTTCTTATCACACCTGGGCAAGTTTTCTCCATCCTATCTCACGAACACTCAGGTGCAAGAGAAATAAAAATAATCAAGGGGCAGGTTGCTAAAGGAAGCGTCGAGCTCATACCTTGTTTCAGCAACCGACCAGCTGCACTAGCGCTGCGTACCTGTTTTATTTTATAGTTCAGACAGATGAACTGCTAGCTGTATAAAGCTTGTTTTATTATGTAACATAAACAACAAACATTTCTTCCACTGAGCTAGTGAAACAAACACATATACCTTAGTGCTGTAAACGTAATCCCCCAAAATGGTTACATAGAAAACTAAGAGTTTTTGGTGTATGTGCTGCAGTAGAAGCAACCCCCCCCCCAAAAAAAAATCATTTCACACTATTGCTCTGAGGAGACTGAAACCAGTAAGCACGCAGAAACCCCCTTTTTTATGCTAATAGAATATATATGCCCACTTCTCATTTAAACTGATACGTAAAAAAAAAAAAAAACTCACAGTTTTATAAGTGCAACAAAGTACCACATTCAGCCTGTTTTGTAGCCAACTCTGTAATCTGGAAAATTATCTCTCTGACAACCAAAGAACGAAGATGAGTCATCTGCAAAATAAACTCCAGGCCTGCTGCAGCGATCACAAGGCCAAATATCTGCAACAAACTTTGCCTTATTTCTTGTAACACCTAAGCTCTTGGGTGTAAGCAAGTCGCCAGGCAAACCCTCATGGTCACTATTAGAAAGAGAAACAGACACATGCCAAAGAAAACCAGCTAATGCGACTTTCTCTTCACGGTGATCCAGGGAATCTTCAAGTCTGAAGCTGTGGCAGCCCTTCAGCTTTTCCTTATTTTTAATTTTCCACAGGGTGAAGAGGAATCCAGCTTTAAGAATAAAAGCGCGTGGCACCTGTTATCTGAACCACAAGGCCCCAGTCCTTAGGACAGCCGCACTACTGCGCCTCCACCCTGACAGAGGTGAGCAACTTTTGGCCCTGAAGATGCTTCGGTTTCCAACCCCCAGCAGCCCAGTGATGGAAGATGCACACCCCTGCAGATGGCGGGCACAACGCCAGGCTTGGAGACTGAAGCATTAGGCCAGAAATTGCTGGGTGGGCTAGCCATGCAATGGGGCCCAAACACAAGGCAAGAAATATGGGCACATCGCAACCACAACTATGGTGTGAGAGCCAGTGTGGTGTAGTGGTTAAGAGCATGGGACTGGGACTCAGGCGATCTGGGTTCTAGTCCCCGCTCAGCCATGGAGCCCACTGGGTGACTTTGGGCCAGTCACAGACTCGCAGCCCAACCTACCTCACAGAGGATAAGATGGAGAAGGAGAGGTAAGCTGCCTTGAACACTTTGTAGGAAAAAGCCAGGATATAAATCGAAAAATAAATAAAATCATAAAACTACACAGGCAGATGCTTCCCACAGGAACACACATCCAGAACGAAGCATAAGTCCACCCACTCCAATACAGAAAATACTGCGAGTGCCAGAACCTATGAGACTGAAGAATACCCCCATGCCATTGAGGAAACATGTTGTCTTATGAGCAATGTGTTGCAACTTCACCCAGCACAACTCTTACCCCCAGATGTTTGCACCGTAAGACCAAGTAATCTTCCGCAAAGCCCAAAACTCTGCTGAGGTCAAGACATACATCCAACAGGCATTCCTACCATCCTAATAGAATGCCAGAATGCACATCTGGACTGACACACTTGTGGCCTTTAAAACCATATGAGGCTAAAGCATTTTTTGAACCTGACCCAGATGGTTCGATCATCAGCAGATCAAATGTGGACCTGCCAATTCCCAAAGTACATTCCAACCTCATTATTCAAGGCCGTCAACCTTAGCGCCCTTCACACTGTCACAAGGTTTAAACTTAAATCCAACCAAATTCCAAATCATCCAACTGGAGTGGAGGATGCACCGAAATGCTTCATACTGACCTGTCCGTGATTGTGGACTGTGTGCTACTCATTGGAGCCCTTGGCAAGGAGTTGACCTTTTAGCCAATCTGCATCATACTAATTAGAGTATGTTATTGTCAATTTCCCGTACACACACACCCAAGTTCGGGATCCAGCTTTACTCCAACAAGAGGTACACAGAGGTTCAGTTTAAAAGATCAGCAACACAGTTCTTCACAATCATCCAAAGGATCCATATCAGAGCACACTCAGGAAAACCCACGGAGCGCTCTTTCTGACCAAAATCCTCCAAGGAAGAAGGGGAAAGGCCTTCAGATTCATGATTCAATCCGCTGAAAATCTTGCTGCTGCCTCAGTTCTGAAGAAACACACACCTCAGTTTCAGGGGGGGCTTGGTCAAGATGATAACCGTCAGCAGCCAGCCAGCCACGGGTGCATTTGCTTCAGGTTATTCACGAACCTCAGGTCCAATCTTCACAGCTCCGGAATTCTTCTCTAAGGTACTCCAAGCCGAGAAGCAGGTGAAAGGTGTAACAATTCTCATCCAAAGAAAGAAGAGAAGAGGCAAAGGGGGCCGCTGGTCTCTTCCCACCTTCTCTACCCCATGGGATGATAGGAAAGCTACACTACACCTCTCTGGAGTCAACCCCTCACCTTTCAAAGCGGGCCCCCACCTGCGAGGATCTAAGGAAGGCCTCCTGCTCCTATGGGCTTACATGGGCTTCCCCCGCTAACCCCAATTTGCAACTGCCCCCCACTTTTCTACGGCCTCGCTGGGACTGAAGGCAGGCAGACTTTTTGGCTGGTCTCTCTTGGACTGCCGGGAAGTGTGCTGTGATGGGGGGGGGGGGTAATGTCCCGTTTTGCACGCCTTACTCTTTTAGGAGGGGGCAAGGAGCCCCAGTGGGGGGCACGCGCGCGCGCAAATCGCCTTGGGGAAGCAAGGGTCCCCCTTTCCGGGCAGGAAAGAGGATGCTCAGCACCTTCCCCGCCGGGTGGGAAGGGGAGGGTGGGAAACCCCGGTACTAGATGCGGGGCTGCGGCGGCGGCGGCGCGCTCAGGGGGCGCGCCTGGGAGCGCCCGGGCAGGGCAGGGGCCATCCTGCGCCCTCGCTCGGGCCGCGCGTCGGGGGCGTGCGAAGCGGAGGGGCCCGCGGGGAGGACCGCTGCGCCACGCGGGGCCCTCCGAGTCTGGCCCCACTCGCTCGATCGCTCGCTAGGCCTCGGCGGGCTTCATCTTCATCCTCCTCCTCCTCCTGCTGCTGCTGCTGCTGCTGCTGACAGGGCTCCGCCGAGGCCGTCCGTCGCGCAGAGGCAGGAGCGCGGGCGGCGCGTCAGGCCCGCTCCGGGGCCCCGCGGAGTCGCTCCGCCGCCCTGGCCCGCGGCGCCCCCGCGGCCGGGAAGGGGCGGCCACAAAAGGCGAGGCTGCTGCGGGCTCGGCGGCTCCTTCCCGCCGCCGCCGCCGCCGCCGCCGCCGGACGGGGAGGCCAGAGGACGCCGAGCGGCTGCGCTTCCCCCGGGCCGCCGCCGCCGCCGCCGCTCCTCCTCCTCCTCCTCGCCCCTCGGGACCGAGCTGGCCCGTCCCGCCGCCGCCGCCGCCGCGACCCCGGCGCTTCTCCTCCGGCCAACGGTCCCCGCCGGCTTCCCTCGGGCAGGCCCCGCTCGGCTCGGCTCGGCTCGGCCGCGCTCGGCTCGGCTCGGCCACTTCCGGCGGCCCCGGGACTACTTTCCCTCCCCCCGCTCCTGCATCCCTCCTTTCTCTCCGCTTCAGGAATGCGCGTCACTCCTCGCCTCGCATCCCGCTCGGACGCGGATCCCTCCGCTGGGACGCCTCACGGTGCTGGGAGAGACTCCCTTCGCGCGCCTCCGCCGCGGGGAAAGAGTCCCTTCCAGGCCAGGGCGGGGGGGCGGCGATCCCGTCCGTGCGCGCAGCGCCCCTTCTTAGGATTCCCGCGCGCGCATGCAATTTAAGCCGTACCGTAAGTGAACAAAGGCGTGATGCTGTGTCTGTGCAAACAGCAAACAAAAGCCGCCACCCGACGATGTTTTTAGTTACTCTGCGTGCAATCCTGTGCTGTTTATTTTTTTCCCGTCCGCACTGGCATAGGATTGCATCCATATTAACTCGGGGTGCAAGCCTAGTCCTATGTAGGCAGGAAAGCACCCCCACTCCTGGCGACCCCTGGGGAATGCTCACAGCTGTACAACTTTTTTTCCTGCTGAAACAAGCATAGGATTGTGTGCTGAGTAAATAGGTGGAACCTTAAAACTGCACAACCAGGGCAGTTTCTATTCCTTTTCGCAGTTCCCTCACCCTGCAAAATTCCGTCAGATTACATGGGAGGGGGAGAGAAATCTTTGACACACACGTGGTGCAAGCTAGAAGCACTCCTTCCCCATGAAACTTCCTTCTGGGTGTCGACCTTTCGGGAACGAGACTCTGCATGGGCTCAGAGGCATGCTTTCGTTTCTTCCCCTGTAAATGCTTTCAGACAGGCAGACAGCCTTTAAAACTATTTGTTTTTGTTATCAGTGAGACTCATGGTAACAAATATAGTATTGCCACGCTCGGGATCTTTAAGAAGTCAAAACCTCAGTCAATAAACGCAGACACAAATGTTGCCAAATTAAGCATCAGTGTAGCAAGAGGGCTACTGAGGCCGCGTGGTAAGAACGCCGCCGCCGAGGGACCAGCATTCAAGCCCGGACCTGGCCTTTGAAGTTCGCTTTAGGAAGGCCATCAGCGATCGTCTTTGTCTGACCTACTCATAGGGCTGTTGTGCTTTCCGTGTGGGACCAGGAGGACCAAGCGAGCTCCTCGCAGGAAGAAAAATAACGCGAATACAATGATACTTTGCAGCTGTTGCTACATATTGTAGGAGCAAGCTTCCTAGTCTGATTTTGCTACTGTGTAAAGATTTGTTTCCTGAATCTCCTAGATGACTCTGGATACTTTGAGAGACTGGGTTAAAAAAAAGAATCTGCTACTGTATCCGCTTCTTTGCGCCATTCTGAATGCTCCCTTTCCTGCTTCTTCACATTCTTTCAACTAAAATGCCACGTTGTACTTTTTCGCATAGGGCTGTCACTCCAGCCCCTCGATCAGGCACCCCAATTATTCCTGCGCTTCTCCTGCTGCAGGGATAGTGACTAGAACTAAGGAAAAGGGTGTTTGCATCACAGGTTTGCATAAGGGAAGCATGATGCTGGAAATGTCATCTTTGATTCCCTAACAATTATTTCATGGTAGGCACATCCTATGCTGGCATCCTCCTCCAACTTCCCACCACAACACCAAAATCCCCTCTCTGGGGAGTCGCAGCTGCCTTTACCCTCGTGGTCGTCCGCCAGAGAAAAAATGTGTCCCAATCTGCATCTCCTTAGAGTTGCTTACATTGAACTGCATTTGTCATTTTAATGCCCATTCCCCAGCCCTTTGCTCTCTTTCATTTTAGCCATCTTAAATTATTTGGCATCATCCCCAGACTGGACTACCTCACTATTCACACCCTACTTCAGAATGTTTGTGAACAAGTTCAAAAGCACTAATTCCAGTACAGAATTCAGGGAATCTTGTGATTTATATCGGTCCGCTGATTGATCCGTCTACTTCCCACCTCCCTGACCAATATGAATCTGCTGAAATGTTGCTTGTGGGGCACCTACTTCGGGCCATTTCAGAGCCACCTTTGTGAACACGCTGCAACCAACAGATTCATCGATGCTGTTGCTGCTTAGGCGCAAGGTTTAGGCTGCAGTAGCAAGAATGCTTAACCCCCGCTACACTCAGTCAGAGCTTTTGCTGAGCTTTGAAACTAAATTGTACAGTCTGATGGTTTCCATCTTAACTGTAGTTCATTGCTGTCATTTTACATCTTTATGGTTTTAAGTTGATTGGCTTTAATTTGTGCGATAAGTTCTTCAAGATAACTCCCTTCAGAGAAAGTCTGGGCTCTCTTAGCACTTGTAGAAAGCTCAACATTTCTCCAACCTGATTCTGAGGGGAGGTAAGTAAAATAAGACATGAAATATAGATGGAACAGCTTTAACAAAATTGGCAGTTCCTGGATGGAGGACACACACTCAATGACAAAGTCAAGCCTTGCATTCCACTTTAATTAATATTATTACCCTAACAGCAGCAGCAGCTTGGAAGTGCATAAATATAAGGGCTAGATGCCTCTTCTAACAGCTTAACTTAACATTGCTAGTTGCTGCTGCTGTTACTGTTATAATATTGCATATACTGTATATCCTGACTTTTTCCCTCTTGCAAGGAACCCAGTGTGCCACACAAAGTTTGTTCCATTTTAACTTCACAACAATAGCCCTGTGAGGTAGGTTAGACTGAGAGGCAGTGATGGGCTCAGTGGTCTTCATAGCTGGGTGGGGACTTGAATCTGAATCTCCTGAGTTCCAGTGGTAGCCACAAATTAACCAGTGCTTAGACTCCTGACTCCTCACTGTAAACATATGTAGGCCTTGATAAATCAGGATTTAGAAACTACAGGACACTGTGGGGCACTTTGTTTATAGATGAAGTACAAGCGTAAGTGCTGGGAAGTCATTCTGTTTGTGGGTGTGAGAGGGAGTGTATAGAGTTCCCCCACCCCTTTGGTGATTAAAATATTAAGAAAGCTTTTAAAAATAGAAGTGAATGCCAAGATAATCAACTCAGGAAATAGTTTAGACTTTAAAGCAGCCAATCATTTTGTGTATAAAGAAAGAACATGAATGTGTGTTGTTGTTATTCTTTCAGTTCTCATGGAAATGATTCCCATACACTTAACAAAATGAAACAGCCCTCAGTGAATGCATTGACTCAGGGAAGAAGCTGAAAGTGCAGCATGCAAATTCCCAGTGATAAATTGGTGGGTAGCTCCTTCGGATGCAAGGACTGCAACCTTTTTCTTGACTTCCTCAGCATCACCCTAGATCTCTAGAGAAAAGCATCTTGATAGGCTGAAACAAGAATGACTTGAAAGGGAAGCTGCCCATTTATTCCAGGATACCAGAAAATCTATTGGCAACCCTTTCTTCTTGCATCCTTTGGTGCACCAATCTATCCTGGTTAAGGCATTGTTGCCAAGAGTGGGTATCCCTTTAATTAATGAACTAGCAGCTGGCACAGTTTATCCATACATTCCAAGAACTGGGGGCAACCATCCTTGAACTCACCTTTTCATTTGCCCTCTTCCAAAGTTAGGGTTGCAGGTGTGATCTGCTCCAGACAGGATGGGGCACCCCCTGGATGACAATCAAAGACTGGAAGTGAGGATGCATCTGGTTGGTTGGGAAAGAACCAAGCTGTGCCCAGGGCCCCCAAGGTCTTTGTTTTGAGAGAGAAGGCATCTGCAAGCTTTAAACAGGATCTGAACTCCAGATGGAGCAGGCATCTTCTGACTAGGGTGGAAATCGGCCTTGGCAGTTGTAGAAATGAAACCACAGCCCACTGCAATTTGCACTCTCCATTTCAGGCACACTCTTGGCACATTTAAATAGATAGAAGTCTTGCCTCTTCCTCCATTTCCCAGTTGGTCTCCAGCATGGTTCATCCTGCAAGTGCCTGCGGGACCAGCGACTCCTGCCTGAATTAGAGTCTGTACAATCATGCAATGCAGCTGCTCGGTTTGCAGGTGGATGTTTTGTGGCCATGAGCTTGTTTCACGCCTGACCTTGCCTTGACCTCTGCTTGCTGCTGATTCTGCTCCTGCCTTTGGGCTGATACCTGCTCCTCGCCTTTGCTTCTAGATCTGCCATGCTTTGCTGGTAGCTGCCCCTTCTCTTGGTCCTGATCTCTCCTTCGCTCTGGCCTCATGCCAAGATCTCCATCTAGCTGCATCTTCTCTGGTCCAGCTGCTCCCAGCCACAGACAAATCAGTGGGGCATCCCACGTTCGGAAGCCGTGTTTCAGGTTATGTGTAGAAACAGCGGCAGTTTACCATGCTGGGTCCTTGGTTTGGCCTCTGTGCTTTGCTGGCCCTTCCTTCTGATGTAGTGAGACAGCTCCTGTCAGGGACTGGCATCTGGGATGCCCTGTAAAAGTGAGGGCCAGGCCAAGGGCAGCAGCAATGAGGGGCAGGATGCCAGTCCAGGGCGCAAACTCAAGCCGAGTCGAGAGCTCACTAGCAGCTTGGGGCAAGTCAGTGAGCCCAGGTCAAAGGCTTGGATGAAAGCAGTCCAAGTTTCACACACACAGAGAGAGTCAGAGCACAGCTCCAAAGTCAGTTTACCAGAGAGACATGGATGTGTGGCTTGTAGCAGGCTGGAGCTTGAGGAAAGACAGGAAGAGCAGGGCAGATACTGGCTGAGGCGCAGGGGGACCAGACTTGAATGAGGTGGAAACAAACCGAAGCAGGACTTGCACTAGGCCTAGCCAAGCCAGCAGCAGACAAGAGGCTACCAGCACAGTTGCATTGCATTGCTGGGGCCAGGAGCAGCAGTGCGGGGAAGCCTTTTATGCTGGTCCTCAGGGCCTCCAGCTGCACTGCATAATTGCCCCCACAGGTGCTCCTCTCCCGTAATTGCTTGCAAAGGTGCTCCTGGGTCTGCGAGCACTTGCAGAGATCCTGACAGTAATGAGATGAATGTCTTTCATCCTGACAGCTGGATTCCTTTCTATGAGAAGCCGTTAGGGGTTGCATTTCCATAATGGAAATTGCTAAAGGCCAGCAGGATGGGCCAAAGTACTCCAGCTGCCTATATATTTTAGGCCACTCTGCCTGGCAGTCACTAAGCCTTTGGAAGGACCTGCAGAAATGAATGAGAAACCACCAAAAGGAAAGCCAGACTTAGAGCCACAGGCCTGAGACTTTGCCACACTGCCAACCGGCCTTGCCCCTCTCTGTGAATCTTCTTTCCTGGCCCATGACACGGTCTGTGTCTTCCACAAATCTGGCCCTACACTCCCTTCGGTGTGAGCACCCTGTCACACACACATTCTCAGTCTGATGGTTCTGACAAAACGACAGCCCACACTAGAAGGGCTGAGTGTGGGTTGTCATCGAATCTCAGGTTGTTGCTGAATGTGCCATCTGAATCCAGCCAACAAGACCAGGATTTGTGACCCAGTGAGAGATTGTGGCTGGGTTCAGACAGCATGATAACCCAACGGCTGGCAATGGGTTAACCATGAACAACCCACAGAGAGAGTGCATGGTTCATTCTTGGGTTGTAACTGTGGGTTGTTAACCTTGGCTTTGCTGTCTCTGCTGGGTTCAGACTACACACTAATCCATGTTTCAGCAGCAGTTTATGGTTAAACAACAACCCACGCTCAGTGCCTGAGGGTGGGTTGTCATGTTGTTTAAACTTGGTCTCTCTCATACATACAAACACAGAATACAGAGCCCAGTCTAGTCTGCAAAGCCCAAAGTGGCAAGAATGGAAGGAGTTCAGGATGTTTGCTGAAGCTTGTTTTGGCCTCCGATGTAGGAGTTTCTTGGAAACAATACAGGCCGGTGCAGCTTCATGCCCCCAGTGCAAAACAGAAACTAGAAGTTACATAAGCATGTTTGGAGCTGTCAGGAGAATGTAAATGTTCCCTCATCTTTGAATCCAAGGAAAGGACTTGCTTGTGGTGCTGGTATTTGTCAAGTTGTCCCAAACTTTAAAAGGTTCCCTTATTTAATTGGTGTCTGTGCCGCTGCCAGAAGAGAAGAAAGCCCTGGCTCCAACCAAATAAGCAGCCTGCTTATAATGAAAATAGTTATGTCAAGCACTCCTTAAAACCGGTATATGTGTGTGTGTGTGTGTGAGTGCGCTGAAAGACGGTTTTCAGAAGCAGCTTTGTGCCTGATGTTAGGAAATGGCTTGTTAAAACATCAAGCGGTCGTAGGCTGTATCTTGGCAAGTGACCCAGAATGCTGGATATGGGACGTGGCTCCTGGGTTTGGGTGTGTCGTACCTGAGCAGGAGAACAGGACCCAGGCATGGAGCAACACGGGGACTCTGCTGGCCACCCGGGATGATGCACCTGGGAGGAATCTGGCGAAACCCACTGGGCTTGCACCTGAGCGGACTTCCAGGGGTGTACTCTTAGCATGTGGTGAGCCACATATTACATGTATAAGTCATGTAGCGCATGATTGTGGCTTGCTAGTGTTATAGAAATCTGTTCGCTTCCTGATTGTAGTTCTGGGTATCCCCTCTTTAAAAAAGGGGGTTTCAGAGGGAAAAGGTGCAGCCAAATTACCAGAGCCTAGGCTGAATGTGGCCCCTTCCGTACCACAAATGGCATGATCCATGCACCAGATGGTGCCATCTATAGGCTCTGAGGAAGCCACGGTTCACAGAAGTATGGCACACACAAGAACAGTTGTGTGTGTGTGTGGTGGGGGGTTAACATGGAGGCAAACTAACCCAATGTGGAAAAAGTGATCAGGGAAAGTTGGCTGGCCATTCTGAGGAAAATTGGAATGGGAAGTGGGACACCAGAGTGTTTAAAGTGTTGAATAAGAAAAAGTCAAGTTTGTATCCTTCTAGGATCCAGACCCTACTTCCTTGCCATTGTATCACCCCCCCCCCCCCCCTTCTCCCCATATGCCCCTTACTTGCAAAGAGGCATTTATGCCATGGCACATGAAAGCACAGCTGTGCTTTGTCTGACATCCACCTGCCCTTCAAAGAACAATGGAAGTCATGCCTGGGCTCCTGAACCTGTTTTCGTGGCTGCACTGTTCTTATCACGGGGTGGTGGCTTGCCTAGGATTGCGCCTTAAGGAACTTGCGCCACCCCTTCCAGACGGCACAGGTTCTGCCCTGCTGCGCCAAAGCATCCCAGTGGCTCAAGTGAGCTCTCTTAGCCTGTGCGCTCATTGACTGTGCATGTAAAGTCCATGGCTCGGTGTTCCCCGCTGCACACAGGTGCCTCTCCGTGCAGAGATCCCGCTGACCTGGGGAGCCACGTGGGGAAAGCCTTCGACCCTTTTCAAAATCCCCAGTGCACGATGGACAAGAGGCACCCTGAGGAAAGAGCGCTAAGCAAAGTTGCATAATAAATCAGATTTATTTTTGCTCTTTGATCACGGTGAGTGACTTCATTATGCCAGCCGCTTTGGCAGGACTTTGGTCCTTAGAGGTAGTGTAGGGATATTTTAAATAAATATAATCCACAAATGCGTAGAAATGTATGCTTTGTTTTCTTCCACGGGGAGGTGGGGGAAGTGTAGATTTTGTTTGCTAAGGACGGCAGGCACGAAGAAGGAATGCACAAGGCAGCAGGTAGCGTGTTGACCAGTGCTAAGAAACCCCTTATTTTCCAAATTTTTCAGAGATGCCTGCATTTTATTTTATTTGGTTACTGCATCACTAGAATAGAGCACAGAGTAGTCCACAACAAAATAGACCAAGGGCCCAATCCTCTGTGCATGTAGAAAAAGTCCCCCAGCTCCCAGCATGCTGACTGGAGAATGCTAGGCCCTGTAGTCCTTTTCTGTGTCTCAACATGCACAGGATTGCACCTTAAGAAACTTGCTCCATCTCTTTTTAAAAGGAAGCTGCAATTCTCAACAGAAGTTAACAGATGTGCCGCTAGAAGACATTTATTCTGTAATAATTGGGTAATAACAACACAGTGATACCGATTCCTAGAACTTGTGAAGAGGGTGAGTGGCACTGTGGCATCAGACAGGGGACATGGAATAGTTTTCCTTCCACAGATCTCTAAAGCCAGAGATCCACCTACCTGTTCTAGCTCCTAGGTCCAGTATAACCAGCAAGTCCTGGTCAGACTGAGGCTCCTGAACTGGTGTTTCTCCAGGGCCACCTTACCTGAACCATGGAATGCTGGACTACCAGGAATGTTTTGCTGGCTATTCCAACAGGGAGGCCACGTGGCCAAGGACAAGACACTGCACAGAAAACTTGCTGTCCAGCTCCAGGAGTAGCAACACTCGATGGCTCGCTGGGACCAGTGTTGCCCGGCTGCAGGGTCTGTCAAACTGTCAAAAAATAAGAGCTATGCTGAGGAATGAGCCACTCTAAATTCCAAAGGCTGTTGCAGACATTGGCTGAGTTCAGACGACACAGTTACTCACACTCAAGGGTTGACAGGGTTCAGCAACACAATACACTACATTCGAAGGTTGTCATTGTACCATGGGTTGTTGAAATGTAGGTTCTCATGTTGTCTGAATGCAGCTGAGATAAACCCTGGTAAACAACCCACAGTTCCCAGCAAAACAACAAACCATAGGGTTTCTTCATGGGCTGTTCATAAGCCATGACTTGCTGTTGCAGCTAGGTTCAGATAAGGCAATAACCTGCATTTCAACAACCCAGGATGCAACAACAACCCATACTCTGGCATGGATTGTTGAACCCAGTTGTCACCTTGAAAACAAAAACAGTTTGCTGCTGCATGACCACTGATCTACTGCTGGAACAACTCATGGGCATACGCTAGAGCAGGAGCGTTGAACCTGAGGACCATGGGCCAAATCTGGCCCCGAAGAACCATGCCTCCTTTTCTACCAATGAGCAGTTTGGTGTCTTCCAGCCTGGGCTTGCTCCCCCTTCCCCCATCCTAAAAGGTTAAGGTAGCTCTTCTAAGGCTTAGTGACTGGCAGTGAAAGCTCTGAACTAAAATAGGCTATCCTTTTTTATTTGTAACATTTTTGCCTTTGGCCCATCTATTAGCACAATGCAGCTCCTGAGAGCTTCTCCAGAATGGGATGTGGCCCCCGGGCTTGGAAAAGGTTGTGCAGTTGTGCTGTAAGCCCTCACCGGCTTGGCAGAGGTCTGATTCGGTCAGCTAGATTTTTGATCTTACTTGATGGGCCTTGCTTTAGCACCCACACGGTCCAAGCGCTTTCTGCTGTGCGTAAATAGTTTGCCTGTGCAAACGTCGCTTGAGCATGAGATGTCACCTGTTGACCACACTTAGATCCCACCCTGTCTCTGAGAAGCACAGAGCAGCACCAATGGGAGCATCCCCATTTTATCCCCACAACAACCCTGTGAGGTAGGTTAGCCTGAGGGAGCATGCTTGCCCCAAGGTCAGCCGATGAGCTTCACGACTCACTGGGGATGTGAACCTGGGCCTCCCCAATCCTAGTCCAGCAATCTAGCCACTGCGCCATGGCAGCTCTTTGCTTCAGTGTATACCAGGGCATGGGCGATATTCGGTGTCAGCTGAGGAACGCGGACCCAGCCCGGTGACGGGTCAATGATTCTTCAGGTACCCATTGGCATTCAAGTTCGCTTCTTTGCTCCACCAGCTTCGCCAAGCATGGTACTTCTTTATGCTTTTCCGCCGGGCGAATCGGCAGATGCTCACCATGAAAACACAAGAGACGGCATACATGATCACACCCCCCGTCTTGATGAACCACTTGGGCTTGGGCGACGTCAACACACAGTACATCAGCCGAGCCCCAACACCAATCCTCACCCCTCCAAAGAGCACAATGAAGAGGAAATCCACCACGTCCCCGGTGAGACTGGGGTAGAGCCCCTTCTCCCGGAGAAACCAGCGGGCTTGCAGGAGGGGGTTGGTGATCTCGCTACCAAAGATGACGCCGTTGACTTCTGCAGCGGACTCTCCCAGGGCAAGGGAGACTGTGATTCCCAAAATGCTGACGGTGTGATGGGCCAGCATCAGCACCCCTTCTGCCTGGAAGAAGACGCACCAGCCCAGATCGAAGAGGAAGTAGCCCAAGCTCATGCACAGTGCATGGACCTGGAGGGTGGTGTTTGGAGACCCTGAAAGCAAAGGCAAAGCTCAGGTGAGCCTCCGGGCAGCTCACACAACCAGCAACAAGTGGCCCCTGGCCCCTGATCCGAGTGCCGAGCCACGCATTTGGCAGAATGAGGCCCAGATCAGAATAGCCTGAACAACCCTCTTCCTCCCCATAATAAAGACAACAGCAAGCTTCGAGTCTTCAGCTTGAAGAACACAAGCCTCAGGGAAAAGAGCTGGCTTTGGTGGCATCTAGCAAGCTTTGCTTATTGTTCATAAGCGTTTCTTCTCCTGGGTTAAATGGCTGGGCAGTCACAGCTTTAAATTATAGTTCCCTATTAGCCCCAGTCAGTGGTCAGGAATACTATGAACTGTGGTCCAAAACATCTCCAGGGCACCAAGCTGGGAAAGGCTGACCCAGCTGGATCATCCCATGAAGCTGCATGGAGGGAGATCTAGGGCAGATAAAGGACGGACTTCTTCACACAGTACATAAATTATGGGATCTACTTCTACAAGATGTAGCAATGGCCACCAAGTTTTGGATGCCTTTCAAGGGAGATTGGATGGATTCTTGGAGGAGATGGCTCTCATGTTCTGGAAGCTGCCTGCTACCTCAATATCAGACACAGTATGCTCTGCACCCCAGTGTCTGGGAAACTCACATGGGGGATGAAATTGCACTTCTGTTCATCCTGTATGTTTCCCATGGCACCTGGTTGGACCCCAAATCAATTATATGTGGGACTCCACATTCTACAAGAAGGACAAACATTCCCCCTACTCTCTGAACAACATTAGTAGTTCCAAACAAACAAACAAACATTGCTCCAAGTTATAATGTGTCAGGTCTAGAGTTAAGCATGCTCAAAAGAGACCCACTTAAATCAGTCATTACTAACATACCTGGGTAAGACATAGGCCACGGGCCATCGATGAAGCAGATGTAACCTGAGAGGCAGGTTGCACAGACCCCGTGAGTCAGAGTGACCAGTCGGCAGCTCCACTCGCAGGTGCGGTTTTTGAACCAGTAGCAAGAGCAGGTGTAGAGGGAAAACCAGCCAATCAAGCTGAAGGCCACCCGGAGGACAACGGAGACCACCATTCTGGGATGGAGAGAAGTATGGGTTAGATCCCTCAGATTTGCAAGCTGCTGCATGACCCACATGGGGGGCTGATTACCCCCTTGTAAGAGCAAACTGAGGTAGTGTCAACAGGTACGTAGCCACCTGTGTCCTCTGAGAAGAGGGAAGAGGTCCCAGTCTGCTCCAAGAAACTCCAGTTCCAGAAATTCCAAAAAACAAAACAACCTCCTTACCCCTTTAAACCCCCTCACGCACACACCTGAATTTTGAGCTGCTACAGAATGCTGGACACCTTTTGGAAAGAAATGGAGTGCTCTAGAGGGCTGGGACCCTGAATAGGATCAGGAGAGGGTGCCCGGGCAGATTTAGACATCTGTGGCAAAAACGGGCAGAGCCTGCTTGTGATTTCCTCATGAGACAGAGAGCACCTGACAGCAAAGAAATGCATGGTCTCAGCTCTGACGAATTTCCTGCTCCCCTTGGTTGTACACTGGCTTTGCAATTTGGGAAACTGGCTAAGCAGTCCTGGCTAGGACACCTCAGTTCCCCTCCTGCTTACTCACAAGATTCCCCCATGACCTGGAGAAGTCACTCTCCCCTAACCCTAAAAGCAGCCCTGTTGTGTACATATATAACAGCAGTGACCAGCGGTTTATGAAGCAGGATAAGACACAGGTTAAATAAATGACCACAGTTTTCCTTTTCTCTGCAAAACTTGGGAACTAGTCCTCAGTTTCTCGTTTGGGGTTATTTGGCTTGGCTTGGATTACTTACTCGATTTTAGCTGCATCCATGATACACCTGCACCTGGGACCCTTCTTCCCCAAGGAAAGGCTCGGTGGATCAGGCCATCGGTTCCTAGAAATCAGGACTGCCAGTTGCTCTCCATGACCTCAGGCAGAAAAGTCTTTCTTCCTCTAAACTGTCGCCCGTGTCCCTCGACTGGAGACACCGCACGTCGCACCTGGGACCTTTTTCATTCCAGTGGAGTGGAGCGGAGCAGCGCAGACAAAAGCGAAGAGGGGCGCGGGGAGGGAATAGGAGACTTAGAGGCGAGCCTGGCGAAGCAAACTTCAGAAGGAAACGCCAAGCGACGCAGCCGGAGTTCATTTACCAAGGCGCAATGACTCCCCCTGCCTGGGGGTCTGTCCTACTCCCGAACTCCAGATCTGGGACCGGGAGGGGGGGTGTTGTTGCGGATCGCTCTGCGCCTATTCAGAGCCACCCGTCCCGCGTGCCAATCAAAGGGGGCCGCGCCCTGCTGCGGGCGCTAGGAGAAGAGCCAAGGCGCTTGCCGCTCGAATCGGGGCACTGCGCGCTGCGCTCCATTCCTCCTGTACCTAAGACGCGATCCCGCCGGGACCCAGCGCGGCCCCGCCCGGAACCCGCCACACGGCCCCGAACGCCCCCGCCGCCGCTCCCCAGCCGCGGGAAGCCCAGCCCAGCCCAGCCCAACCCAGCCCGTGCGCCGCCTCTGTTGGGCGCACAGTTTGGGGAGCCCCGTGCGCTCTTGGAGAGGTTACCTAAGCCCGGCCACCGGCGGAGGGGACGCGCCAGCCGGCCAGGCCGCGCGGGCGGGATCTCCCCCGCCCCGCTCCTCGTCTCCTCCGCCCGGCCCACCGGCGGCGAGGCTTCGCCTGCTTAGGAAGATCGCCGAGCTCCAGGCGGAGACGATGACAGCGGGAGGGCGGAGAGGAGGAACCCGGCTTAGGGTCACCTGCTGGTGGGGAGGACAGATCGCACCGCGCCCGGCGAGCGCCTTGGTAACCGCGTACGGGGAGAGGAAGCACGGAGTAGCGCTACTAGCAGGAGCAGGATTACGTTCGCCCCGCGCAATGCTTAAGGAAGGGGAAGGAGGAGGAGAACCTGCCCCGCTCCCCAAACGACGCATGGAGGCAGGGAGCTCCAGAGGGGCGCTGGACAGACTCCCGGAGGAAAAGGCTAGCCACGGCCACGGCCACTAGCCCAGATGGCGCTGGGCTACCTCCGTCCTCAGGGGCAGTCTGCCTACGGACACCCGTTGCTGGGGAACATGGGCAGGAGGCGTTGCGTGTGGGTTTCTCGGGGGCAGCTGCTTGGACATGGTCTGGACAGAATCCTGGAGCGGGAGGATCCTGAGATTTCAGGATGGCAGCAGTGGAGGAAGCTCAGCAGCCGGTTTACTGAGCTATGCACGAGGGACGTGAATTCCTGAGCTGGTCTAAAGGGAGTTGTCTCCCTTCGTTTTCACAAATCCTCCTGGAAATGCAGCTGACATTTTAGGAAGGGAAGAGGTCACCGTTGCAGGACTGATGTGATCACTCTCAAAAGATTCCTGGCATTGCACTAAGGATTTCGTGGAGTCCAGGGTCGTCGGGCAAATCTGCAACAGGTTCCAATGTGTTTGGTCTCTTTCAATCTGACCTTGAGGACCAGTTTTTAACTGTGGACGTGTCTGTGTGAATTTGCATGCATGCTAATGTGTGCACAAGTGCAGAGTAGCACAGAGGCACATTCGTGCAAAGGTGTGCTTGTGTCAGTGCACATTGGCACAGATGCACATGTGTGCAAGTGGAACAAAACTCATACTTTTGTTTAAAAAGTCTGATTCTCCCAGCGAGGAGAGCGATGCAAGTCCAGGCATCGTCCCCTAGAGCTGAGGCCTGCCAGGGTGGAGAGGCAGCTGATGGGAAGGCTGCCTGTGGGTAGCTCCTGGGAGAGGACCCGAGCAACCCAGTTCTTGTGCCTGCCGGTCCCTGGTGGCTTGGACTGGGCACCACAACATGCCAGGGGGAGGATAGAGGCCTGGAGGCTTAACAGGAGAGGCCGCCTTTGCCAAGTGGGAGAGCCCCTCTGATCCGGGCATCTTTGGCTAAAAGCGCCAAGCACTCAGTGATGGGAAAAGCCTTTGTTTACCCGAGAACTGCTGCTGGGTCAGGTTGTCTCTCAACACCTGCGGGGACAGGGGTCTTTTCAAGTATGTCGAACTACAGCTCCCCAGACAGTATGGCTAAGGATAGGAGTGGTAGCCCAACACGCTTCAAATTCTCAAACGTGCCCATGGGACTGTCATGCTGGGAGGCTAATTCCCACATTCCCGTCCACCTGCGTGGAGGCTGACTGGAGAGGGAGGACCTGGTGCATGGAAGGTGCGCCAAGCAGGTGGCGTGGCACGTCACGTCACGTCTGGTGCATCACCCGCATGCCTTCTGCAGGGCACGGTTGCAGCATGAGTCAAGCTTGAGTGATGACTTCCTGAGCTGGACCATCCAGGCATGCGTAACTTGGCCACTGGCCGTTGCCCTGCTTGCCTCAGTCAAGTGCCTTGAGACCACGGGCTTGGGAGTTTTCGAACAAGCCAGCCCTGAAAGAAAGAGAAAGTGGCCCTGGTCACCTTGCAGGTCTGGGACTGTGTACGCCTTCCAGTTTGCTTCCCCTCCAGGTCAAAAAGCAGCCTGGACATGAAACGGAATGGTATTGGAATGGGGTGCTCCTTCCCTGAATGGGTGAGGGACTGTACCACTTCAGGCTGCAGCTGGAGGAAATCAAAGTTCACCTGACCCTTGCTTGTTTGACTTAAATAGGACCTGCCATCAGATGCAAGAGTGCAGTCTCCTTCTACAGTTTGTGGATAATAACACTGGCCTACCTTACAAGGTGGTTGTAAGGACAATGGAGGCAAGGTGCAATGGAACCCTGAGAGATTCCTCAAGCAACTTCAAGTCTGAATGCCCATCACGGTGAAGACCTTTGCTCTGCCACTCCCTGCTAGAAAGATTCAGGCTGCAAATCTGGAGGGCAGGGTGTTCGGCTTTCTGCCTCCAGGCTAAGGGAGCTGGGAATTTGCATCCCACTCCTCCTGGGAAGAACGCCTTGGCATGCACCAAATCAGGTGATGTGGGAGCTCCAGGCACAGCCTTGCATGGCAGAAGTTTTCCCCATTCTACAAGCTTGGAAGGTCTCCCCCAAACCTGCTGGCCTGTCAAGCCCCGCCCCATCAGTCTTTGGCCACACCCCTTTGGCTTTCAGCTCCACCCACCACTGGAATGTTGTATGTGTATAGTTGTACTTTACATATTTATATCATTTGAACTAAATATTGTAGCCTGACCTGAGTAATTTTTAACCAAAGGGCCACATATGCATTTATTAATAAATACCTGAAGGCATAAATACATGCAATTAGTGTAACATACTCACTTAGGAGCCAGCCCTATTGAATTCAATAGGATTCAGTTCCACATCCATGTGCCCAGGCTTGCACTGTAAGTGTGAAGTACACCTTTGCCCACACGTGTCCTTCTCTTTCTGCGTGAATGAACCTGCCCAGGTCTCTCCTCCGGCAGGTCCAGGGTGATGCCAAAGCCCCGGCAGCTTGCTAGGAATGCTCACTTTGCCGACCTGAAACAGGCATTTGGCCATTTTGCAAGGAGAGGTGGATTTTGAGTGGCACTGAACTCTCGGGTACAGCCAGAGTGACAGCGCTCCTGGGCGATCGAGGGCGGCTTTCTGGGGCATGGCAAGATTAGCACAAATTCCCTCCTGAGAACAGGAGAGGCTTCTGGATGGTAGCTTCAGCACACAGCCGTGTAAACTCTCTCTCGCTCGCTCTCTCTCTCTCTCTCTCTCTCTCTCTCTCTCTCTCTCTCTCTCTCTCTATCCTGTAAAAGGCAGCATATGGAAATCTGCAGGGCAGAGGGCAACGTTTTCTCCATCCTGCCTGGAGACCACAGCCATTGGGAGAGTCTCCAGTGGCTTTGCTGGGAAGAGAAGCACAGGCATCGCCCTGACCTGTTGCTCTTGCCCTTTCTATGAACAGAACCCCTGTGGAAATTGGAGAATTTTCCTCCGGAGAAGCCAGAGTCCTTTAGGCAGGAGCCAGGAACTCGTGAGCCCATTCAAACGCATTGAGTTTGCACTGCTAAAATGTCACACTCAATAGGGCGGAAATAGACATTGCTTTATATATGAGAGAGGAGCTTGGCCTCCCCACATTTTGCTCTAGAACAGGCCTCTGTCCAGATCAGGACTCTTGCATGGGAGGAAGGTGCAGGGGGCTTTTAGGGTCTGGATGAAGGCCTCTACTGCTACTTTGGAATAAAAACAAAAATGCAACATGGTTGCTAGATGAATTTTAAAAATAATGCATGCTTTGGGTGGATTGCAAAGCTGTTCAAGAAACTCTGGCTCAAAGGGAAGCAGCAATGTGGGGAAAAGTCCTCTGACTAGCAGGTGCTCATGAAGTGTAGCCACATCCCTTGCTCCACTGGCCTGGACTTGGGCAGCCTTGGAACTGGCCCCTGTAAACTTAGAGTAAACTACTGCCAGCTGTGGGACAACACATGCATGACGGCCCCCAGGAGGTGCCTGGTATATCTGCTTGACGTGATCCACGAGCCCGGGATGAGTAAGCAAGGAATAGCCCATCGTTTTCTCAGTCTCTGTGGCTATATATGGGAAAGATAGGTTAGAAGATCCAACAAGGAATGTCTGGGCAGTTGGTGGAATCCCAGGTTCTTCATCTCCAAAAGTCAAGGAAACCATGTTGCTCCTGGTAAGAGACCCAGTGCTTGAACCTGCAGCCTCTGGGTTGAACACCAGGAGCTCTCCTTGTAAGCAGTGCCCTCTTCAGGCACAAGGGGGAACAGAGCTAGCCAACAACAGCCCTTGGGATTGGCAGATAGTAGGTCTCTGGATTGGCCAGGTCAGATCTGAACAGCCAAAGAGAAGAATCTAGTAGGAAAGTTGGAAACTGTCCATGTAGGAACCCATAGCTCTACCTAGTCCAGCAACGTGGACACTAACTGGCTCACCAAGTTTTCAGGAGGAGGTCCTTCTTAGCCCTCTCAGGAACTGCTGGAGAGGGGACTTTGCACCTTCTGCACACAAAGCAGGGGTGCCACCTTCTACCTGACGCTTCTATGTCTCCTTTCTCCTACTGCCATGATCCGGACCAGACCAGATGCTGTTCTGGTCTGGTCTGTCACCTGGTTGGTTGCAGGACCATGTAATCACCTCAAATCCACACTTCATGGTGGAGTGATGATTCCTCATGTAATTCCTTGGGTTTTCCACTTGCTCTCCACTTGGGCTTGTGGGCTATTTGACTTTTGGTTGAACTGTTCCCCCAGTATCCATATTTTCTCTGAGCCTTTCTCATCCTCTGTCCCAGGCTCCCTTCAAGAAGAAAACTGACCCTGAGTTCAGGACATGAGTGAAGGTAACCTGGTCTTGAAGGCCCTTCATCTCTGGAATGAGCTCTGAAGGTCTCTGATTCTATTTGCTTATTCCTCTGTTGGGCACATGGCCCACTTGAGGTCCAAGTTAACACGCAGGTGGGTGTCCATTGGTCTTGGGATGCTGTCCCCCCTTGCCTTCATTCCTCCATAAGGAATATTTCTTCATCCATTTCCTCTTGACGAAACTGCAGATGTGCAGCATAAATCCCAAGGACACAGCATACATGGCGAGGACTCCACCCTTGAGCATCCAGATGGTCCTGGGTGACGTCATCACGGAGTGCACGATCCACACTCCCCCGACGATCCGCAGCCCCAGGAAGAGTGCCACGAAGAGGGAATCCACCACATCCCCCACCAAGCTGTGGTAGCGGCCCACCTCGCGTAGGAACCAGCGCACCTGCAGCAGCGGGTTGGTGATCTCACTCACAAAGACGACGGCATTGACCTCAGTGGCAGACGTGCCCATCGCCAGCACGAGGACCATGCCGCAGATGCTCAGCAGGTGGTGGGAGAGCATCAGCTCGTTCTCAGTCTTAAAATGAAGGCACCAGCAGAAGTCAAAGATGAAGTATCCGAGGGACAAGCTCATCAGCCAGACCTGGGCAGCCGTGTTTGGGTAGCCTGGCAGAACGAGAAACACTGAAATGAGGCTGTGGGCTCCCATCAGCACAAGGTGCCGATATTCCCGCAAGCTCCAGAAAATGTCCTTTTAAATGCATAGACTTAAAAACAAACTGGGTTGATTTGCCATTTGAGGTGCCACATCTGCCCTCTGCTCAGGGCTTGAACCAAGATTTGAGCACCCTTTCCAGAGGACTTCTGTCCTTCCCCGACAAAAATGAAAAGGGTAATCATAAGTGACCCCAGGAATCATGTTTTGCAAGGGCCTTCCCAGTGGTGGCACCTTATTTATGGAATGAAATCCCTAAACAGGGTTATCTGGTGCCTTGTCAGCACCAGGCAATGTTTTTTCTTTTCTCCCAGGCCTTTGACAGACTGGTTTTAGAATTTTTATGGCTGTTCTATTTATTCCTGTGCTATTTATTGTTTTGCACAATATTGCATTTTATTTTTTTAAGTATTTGGATTATATTTTACATTTTTAGCTCTTCTACGGCATTTCAGTTTTTTAACAGTTCACAATTTTTGCCCAGACAAACATGAGTGAGTAGGAGAATTAGAAATGTAGCCAGTAAAGTCCATAATTTTGCCTGACCCAGTTCTAATTGTGTCCCCCCACCCACCTACCCCATGCAACACACAAAGCAACACCGGGGTCTGTGGACCTGATTCTGACACACAGCAAACTGCTCCTGCCCAAAATCTCTTTTGCACAAGCTTCTCCAGGATGACTCTCTAGTATTGCTCACTCTGATTTCCTCCCACCGCCCTGGTAGCATTCAGTGGCTGTACAAGCCACAGAGAAGCTGCCTCACTGCCCCCTGGCTTGGCCTTCTGCCCTTACCAAGCCTCCAAAGGAGAGCATACCTGGTTATATTCATCTACTAACTCGGAAACATCACTGATCATCCCATGCTTAAAACTCAACACGATGCCATTTAACAGTATCTGAATGGCTTCTGCCGCACATGCTATTTGATTGCATGGTCAGTTTTGCTCACCAGGCCAGGAGAGCAGCAGTTACTCGACCCAGGCAAAGAAAGGGATGTGTACACGGCAGGCAGTTGCTTCCTTGGCACTCAGCCATGTTGCTTAGAAGACGGCCCTTGCTGGGGAATTTTTAGACACCCCCAGGGAGGACAGGTGCCTCGAGAAAGACCTAATCCTGGCGATCAGGAGCTGAGCTAAATGCAGCAGGGGGCTTGTGAGGACACCGCAATGGAGCTCTGCGGACGACAATCCGTTCCGAGAAAAGGAGAGCAAGGGAAGGCAGAGGTAAAGAAGGAAGAGCGATGAGAGGCAGCCACACACGGGGTGGGCGAACTTCTGGCAGCAGGTTAGCAGGATGTCCGTTCCTGAGCGCTTGTGCGTGGCTCCCACAAGTGCTTTGGTGCAACTGGGGAGGGGTTGGGGTGCATAGATTGCACTGGGAAATAAAGGTTCTAGCCCTTATTGTTATGTGCAAAGGCTTGACATCCTTATTTATGTTACTTTCGACCTTTTAATACTATTCGATAACCAATGTGTTTGCTGGATTGTTTGCAGAATAAAGCTTAAAGCCATTAACTTCTAAAATATATTAGTATTAAATGTCTCCTTCTGCCTGGGGGATGAGAGGTGAAATGGGGCCATTCTACTGGCCCTGCTAATGGTCTACTTGATTTTTCTTCCTCTACCTTCCACATCCGTTTTTCCTCATATGTCATGCCTTTTTAGATTGTAAAGCTATGGGCAGCCCCTGCTAACTGATTATAAACCACTTTATAATCTTCCTTCCTTCCTTCCTTCCTTCCTTCCTTCCTTCCTTCCTTCCTTCCTTCCTCTCTGTCTCTGTCTCTCTGTCTCTGTCTCTGTCTCTGTCTCTCCCCTTCCTCTTCTTCTTGGCTGAGGAGCTGGATAAAAAGTACCTTAAGGACACGTCCTATGCATTTTTAGACGGCGTTCCCGGAGGATTCTGGAGTCGCAGGCATTGTTCCTGCAGAAACAAGCATCGGAAATGACCCCTGATGAAAACACCTAGAAGCCTTTCCTCATCTGCTTGTATGACTTGGCCCTTCCTGCAAGTTTTGCTGGCATCTCATCTCAGAATGGCCAGCGCCACCTTTTGTCCGCACTTCGCATGACCCCGAGGCTGCTGCGTCTATATATAGCTCAATCCGGATTCCTTCAGCCGAATCCAACTTTATGAGCAAACTCCCCCACCCGGAGCTGTGAGCCACATGGAGATGTCCGATAACAGCTGACCTTCTTGGAAGCATTAAAGGAACTGCCCCAGGGATTCACGCTTCGGCAATTACACGGATGTCCTTGCAAGGCAAGCCAGGCCCTTCCCCAGCCATACAAATGTTACGGAAATCAGCATTAAGCTCAGGCACCAGTGCCTGTGCCATGCCTCACCCGAACAAAGAAGCCAGAAGAAATTGCAGATTTGCATAAAATTTCCATGTGCAAATCATAAGCGTGGCTACCAGTTAAGAAGAAATCCTGCTTAAAGAGGTACTGCCCTGGCAGGGAAGTCTGGCCAGGATCTCTCTCTGTTTGGGAAAACCCGACCTTGATGAGGCTCCTTGCACACTGCAGCCTTTCTTTTGAGCTTCGTAGAAGCGATGCACGGCTTCTCCAGCACAGCTGCACCATGGATGGCTCCAGTGACACGGGAGCCACCAACACCCCCTGGGGCAGGGGGCTTTGGCCCATAGCTGCTTTTCCTGCGTCAGGTTCTTTATTTTTCTCTGGAGGACGAAAGCGGAGGACCAGTCTCTGACAGGCAGGACAACACAGTGCTTCAACGAAGGGTGCAAGGTCACCTGAGCATGGAATTGCACCTTGCAGCTAAACGGAGGATGCCTGAATTCAAATCCTTACCCCTGAAAGGTCAGACCTCTTTCAACCCAGGGCCTAATTCAGTTCCAGAGACATTCTGGGTGGGCAGGGCCACGGGCAGAAGACAGCGGCCAAGTTGACTCAAACTCCCAGGCTGTTTTAGCATAAAGCTCTTCCTGCCAGAAGCAAACCCTCAAGCCAGGCATTTCAACCTGTTAGAATGGCGTTGATCCTGGTGCTGGGCAGGGAACATGCAAAAGTGGGAAACCAGCCAATCAGCAAGAAAACAGGGGCCATGAGGACTAGTGCCTAACATTAACAAAACCAAACCAAAATCAAACCATAGATCAATGGAACTCAAGATGTGCAAGAAGCAGCTTTCTCCAGAAAAGAAGTCCTGTCTGGAGCTTTCGGTACTGTGCTGAGGAATATGGATTTCCTATTTGCTGTCAGTGGTGTGCAAACTTTGTTCCTTAAAAAAGAGAGTGGATTCTCTTTCAGCCTCCTAATCCAGAGGAGGGGCAAGATTCAGAAGAGGATGTATACCAGGGAGAGTGGTTATGGCAGGCCGGCAAATCAAGTGATCAGTGCAGGAGATGCATAAGTGGCAGAAACAGGAGCGGGGAGCAAACCAGAAGTTCAAATTAGTGTGCCAGTGTGTTGTGGTGGTTAAGAGCGTGGGACTGGGACTCAGGCAATCTGGGTTCGAGTCCCCACTCAGCCATGGAGCCAACTGGGTGACTTTGGGCCAGTCACAGACTCTCAGCCCAACCTACCTCACAGGGTTGTCATTGTGGGGATAAGATGGAGGAGGTGATGTAAGCTGCCTTGAGCCCTTTGCAGGAAAAAGGCAGGGTATAAATTGGAAAATAAATAAATAAATAAATAAATAAAACCAGTCAAAAATCAATCCTGACTGTTCTTTAGAAAGCCAGGTACTAAAGCTCAAATGCTTTGGCCACCTAATGAGAAGGAAGGGCTCACCAGAGAAGCCCCTGATGCTGGGAATGATGGAAGGCAAAAAGAGAAGGGGACGGCAGAGGTTGAGGGGGCTGGATGGGGTCACTGGAGAGGTGGGTGTGGGCTTGGGTGGACTCTGAGGGATGGTGGAGGACAGGAGAGCCTGGAGGAATGTTGTCCATGGGGTCACAGGGAGTTGGGCACAACTTTGCGACTGAACAACAACAATGCTAACAACCCAATTGATATGATTTATGAAAGGAATTAGCTCACCCCATCATTTTGCTTTGCTGTCCTGTTTTGCCTGTTGTTCTTACTTCTGGGCTTCAAACAAAAAGCTTTATTTTTCTAATTCTATTGTTTAAACCTGACTTTATTCCCCAAATCCTATCAAGGCAGAACAGGTCCGACATTACCTGCATGAGTCAGTGGCCAGGGTCCATCAATCAGAGCGATGTAGCCGGAGAAAAAGGTGACAAGGAGCCCGTGCATCAGGGTGACCAGCCGACAGCTCCATTCGGGGGTGCGGTGCTGGTTCCGACCCGCAAAGCCTTGGTAGAGAGAGAACCAAGCCAGAAGGCTGCAGGCCACTTGGAGAACGATGGAGAGCATGATCTTGGAAGTGAGAGAGATGAAGCAGAAGACAGAGGAATGCGGGTTAATACGGCTGATGGAGCCAAGCTGGAAACACAGAGTCCAGTGCAAATGCCCCAGAAGGCATCACGTCCAAACAGGCGCTCTGTTAAGGTTTCAGCAGGCATTTTGTCCATGCACTTTCTGACATCTTTTTGTAGCCTTAAGGTCTAGAAACTTGCGTTTTTGAAACACAGGCACACGAATGATAGCTGGGGCTCTTGAGAGGCTGGTGGCTATGCCCAACTGCTGTGTTCGCTGCTCTTTCCCTGAAATGCTGTGGAATTGTAACACAAGGTCCTGCCTACAAGATCAGCCTGATACTTATTCCACAAATGTGCGGAATGCTGTAAAGGTGGTGTTCTGTTCTTTTCCGGTCACCCATTTCAGCTATTCTCTTGCTTCAGAGAAACTTGCCGTTCAGGTTCCAGGAGACAAGGGCCTCCTAGCCGGTTACTGCAGTGCCTGAGTGAGAGGGAGTGGGCCCTGAAGCTGTTCGCTAATTAGGTCAGTCCCTGAAAACATCTCACCTTAATTGTCTTAATGATCTCCAGTCACCAAACGGGAGATTAATATGAATGGTAAAAGGAGGAGATGTTCTGGTCTACCACTCCCATCATGCCTCACTATTGACCATGCTGGCTAGGGCTGATGGGTGCTGTAGTTCGAACCTCCAGAAGGGCACAAGCTGTCCACCTTTAATGTCTGGGCTAGTGCATTTGCTGGGGATCAACTGATCCATTTGCTGGGGATCAACTGATCCATTAGTATCGCATTGCACCACTCACAGGATGGCCGTAATTACTGATTCAGCCTGTCCTTGTTGGGAAATAAATAGCATTTAAGGTTGCTGAAGAGGGTAACTCATCATCAGAAGCTACGCTCTGTCCATAAACAGTGCTCAGAGCTCTGACGTGTTTCTACGGAACACCTTTCAGGAAACCACTGGTTTTCCAACGCCCATTTCTAAAGCTCAGTACATTTCCCTGGCTTTGACAGAAAAAAAATGCAACCCTGGTGCAAAAATGTAAAACAGAAACAAGCAGAAGGAGTCACGGTGGGTGGGCTTGAGGACGCAAGACCTCTCTCTATCCAGGTGTGGTGGGACTCCCTCAGCCCCTTGACAATCCCTGATTATTCAAGGATGGCAAAATACGCCCCCTTGTGGCTCCCTCTGTAACTACAACTCCTGGAGTCCCAAGCAAAATATTTGTAATATTTTGTTAGAGACATGTCATATTGATTGACTGATTAAATGTATTTCTGTACTGCCTTTCTGGGATTGAACAAGGAGATTTACAAAAACAAAATGCCAGAAAAAAACAAAATATAAAAACTGGGATCAGATAAAGATTGAAGGTAAAATATTGAAGGTGACATTAAAAGCAGCCCGTTTTTCTCCTCCTCCCTCCTTCTGTTGTCCCTTTCTCCCTTTCCCCATCTTTCATTCCTTCTCTTCCTTCCTCTCTCCCTTCCTTTGTTCTTCCTGACTCAAAACCCTGTCCCCCAACTTACAGAGAAAAGGGCAGGAGTGCCAGAGGTACAGCCACTCCGGGTCAGGGAAGGGCTTCAGACCACCCACTGAAGACCACCTAAGTAACCAACAACTTCCTAATGCTTTGGAGTTCTTTCTAGAATTCTGCTTCATTCACTCCCAACTCTGTCACTGGGCATTTCAGAAACTCCCTGCAAAACGCAAAGCGGAGGGAGCCGGTACTTACAATCAGAGCCCGAGTGCCTGGAAGCAGGAACGGCCCGGCCGGATGAATCCACAAAATATCCCGTTTCACCAGCAGCCTTCTCTGTGCCCCCCGGCCAAATGCAGTCTTGCTCCCCAAACTCCCATCAGTCAGTGGCGACTCCCTCTTCCTGATTTCTTCCCAGTAGCCTCAGACAGTGGCTTGACCTCGGAGCCTGAGAGCGGTGCAGCAAATTTACCTGGGTCGTTGACAGACTAGGAGCGCTTTTGGCTTTCCAGAGGAGGGGAGGTTACTTTGCGTGTTCACTGGGCCTTCACAGTGCCTTTTATGATGGCCATCCACGTCAATTGTCAGTCTAGTAGAACCAGATTCTTTTGCGATTATACTTCAGAAACACTTGGGACAGAACTAGCTGGGACAATTCCTTGCTGGAAAGAGAGAGTGAGCGAGCGCTTTTGCTTTTGAAACAGGGCTAGTGGCGTGGCTTTGCATGTGCTTCAGTCGCAGGAGCAGATCTCTCACTGCCCCGGAGTCCTGCATCTGTGAAGCCAAAGCAGCAAAGGCTTCTGCTGAGGGCACCCTCCATTTCTGGGGAAGTGTTTTTGAATGAGTTGCCGCAGAAGGTGGGGGAGAAGGCAGCACAGGGCTGCATCAAAGGCAAAGCTGGAGGGGCTAAAATACCCAAACCGACCAGCATCATTCAGCTGAAAGCTCTTCCTCAGGGGAGGCACTTTGACCTCTTAGAATAGGGGTGGGGGCACCACAAGCTGGGATGCCCCCCAAAAATCACGGCTGGTGTTGAGGCCAGCGTTGGGCTATGCCGAAGGTTTGGCATCCTGGTGGAGAACACAGGGAAAAGTTAAGAGATGCTGGGAACAGAAGAAGGTGCTTTATAGGAGGTCACTTGTGGCTCTTCTCAGAACAACATCCATAGGCATAATTATCCGTAGTTTTCAAACAAGGCAGACTGAGCATGCGTATTTGTCCACTTGTAGATTATGCCTAGAGACTGCCTGTGAAAAACGTAAAAGTATTGTTAAGTCCTTATCCCGCAGAATTGCTGAAAGTGACCATTTAGGGTTCCAGGGTGATAATATTACTCTTTCAATTGTCAAAAGGGAGCAGAGAAACCATTTGCATTCACCTTTCAGTATGTTCCAAGAAGCAGGTAGGAAACTGAGGGAATATGAATATCAATTAATATTAAAGAACCCCCATCACAACTTTTATCCAGATGGTCACCTCCTCCCCAAAGAGATGCTAACTGGAAATGGCCTGAACGGGTGGGGACCTTACAATGCTGCGGGGTGCTGAGGCACACGTGGGGAAGGGCCGTTCTAATTCACCGGGGGTCAGCTGCCGCTTTTGCTCAGGACATGGCGTTCGCTCTGAGCTTTCCTCTGCACCAGGGGCACCCAAGACCAGGGCCGTCTTAACGCATGGGCCTGATGGGCACTCGCCCGTGGGCCCCATGCTAATCTGTGTCTGTTAACCCTTGGAAAATTGGGAAACTTCCAAAAATAACAGGAGTTGTAGTTGCCGTAGGGGCCCCGGTACACTGCTTTGCCCGGGGCCCATCGTGCTGTTAAGACGGCCCTGCCCAAGACAAAGCATTCTGGTGCAGCGACCGGAGATGCAGTGGGAAAAGTCTCGATTTGCAGAGCACAGTCTCAAGCAGGGTAAGAACTTCAGCATACAGTGACTTTGGAATTGTGTATTTAGGAGATACGGTGTGATTGAGCTGGGCTGCTGGCACTGGCAGAGATTGTAGCCCAACCTACCTGCACGGTTGGGGCTGATGGGAGTTGTAGCCTGCGTCATCTGGAGGTGGCTGTGCTGGGGAAAGGTGGGCTAGTGGGAAATAGTCTTTTTGTTTTTAGGAAGGAGGGGAGCGCCTGCTAGGCCTTGTTGCCCCTTGGACTCATCCTTGCTCTGAACTCATGCCAAGATGAGCTGCGAGCTCCGTTGCTTCCTGCTGAAGCTGTCAAGTGTCCTTGTCCAAACATGCCTTTCCAAGGCAGCCAAAAGTGCCTGGCTGCAGGCAGCATCTCCATCTGCCCGCGGTGAATATTTGCTCAATCCCATCTCCCCAGTGAGAGGAGCAGAGACAAGCAAAGAAACCCCACGTGGCTGAAATCGGGCACACTGGCTCAAGCTTTTCTGGAACAGGAACTGCAGGCACGGAGCGTGACAAGGCAACAGGAAGCATCTCCGCCTCCCATTCCTTTGCCCATAAAGAGAGCCACCTCCGGCCTTGTCTCAGCGGCAGCAGCCCGAGGGTCAGAGCCGGGAGGCCAGACCAAAGGCCTCTCCGGCCAAGCGCTTGTGTTGAAGCAGCCCGCCGGAGGTCCACGGGAGGCTCATGCATCAGGGCACCGAAGAGCAGCCCCACCCCCTCTTCTGCCCCCAGGATCTGGGGTTTGGAGGCAAGCTGCCTGTCCTGCACCAAAGCAGCAAGCCCTTGAAAAGGCAAACCGGTTTGAGGCTCATTCCTAGGCATGTGTAGACAGAAAAAGGAAAGGAAGAAGAGGAATTCTGCAGCTCCTGGCATGTACCAGCCTTGCTGGGATTCATTCCAATGGCATAAAACAATTTAAAAAGATAGGATTTGGCCCCCCCACCACCTCTGCTGTCCCACAACACCAACCGTTAAAAGGTCCCATCATATGCCATCAATTCCCTGGGAGTGAGTCTCTTGCATTGAGCAGGAGAGCATCCCAGCAATAGGGGACCACCCCGAGAAGGCCCTGTTCTATGCAGGCATTCTCTTTTGGGGAGGCACTGGCATGCGGCTGGGGAGGGGGCATAGGCAATCACAGTCACCGTCCTAATACTCATCCCAGTATCTCACAGGCTGAAGTCAAATCTTTTTCCCCTGTACAAATTGCCACAAATGGCTGCCCCAAACATTGTTCGGTATGTACTCAGTATCCCAGCAGCCACCGCTAAGCTGCTATCAGACAATCGTGCTAGAAGCCAGACACAGTTTGGCTACTCCTGGAGAGTTTCCATGAAGGGAAATCCAGGTGAAGTGCTGCCACCGAACAGTGGGATCCAACTCTCTCCCTCCTGCTGGAACCACAGGTGCATTTTCTGCCCCCGAAGCCAGCTTGCATGTACTTGCTAGGCTGAGTAATTTATGTGGCTTGTAACCATCACAGGAAAGAGCAACAAGCTGCGCAGGGAAGCCTTGTCCCTGACCAATAGAAATGACACTTAGGCTCTGCTTTCCCCCTGCTCCTTCACCAAATATTGCTCACACCTCTTGAGGACTAGAAA